GACCAGCAAACTGCAAAAACGTCTGCATTTGCAAAGGTTCTCACATCTGCCGTTGGATACACCAATCAAATACAACTGATTTTAATTCCTATGGAAACATTAAGGATAAACTCAATTTTCACAGGATTCTGTGATACGTAATACGTTTGCTTTAACTGGAAAACATTTTGTGTTTGCTGTGTTACTTTTAACTGTGCTATATGGAAAAAAAAGAAAAACATCTTGACTTGTCTACTTCCAGGTTTCTATCAGATGTGCTTCAGCAACTTCCACAACCGTTTCGGCTCGATGCAGATTTCCCTCAGCTTTGGTGTTTACTATGACACCTACCAAGATCCCTCAAAGAGCGAGGAGGAGGAGAAGAAGAAGAAGGAGGAGATCAGCAAAGAGCTGAACAACACACTGAGCGTCATCGAGGTACACATAGCTACCTGCTGTTATAGTTGTTATAGTGTTGTGGTGTCTGTGGCAGTACTGACAGCAGTTGGTGAGCCAAAACAAGTCAAATGTATTTAAACTTCACACTTAAGTTCAAAGTGTTTCACAAAATGAATTAAAAACAGTAACTGGTAGCAGAGGCGGGATTGTTGGAGTTTGATACATCAAAAGTGAATAAACAGATTTTTATACCTGCGTCTGTTCTGCTGTGTCAGACTACGACCCACAAAGTGGAGACCTACGTCTTTCACATGTTCCGGCACTACGGCTTCAGTCGGATGAGAAAGAGCGTAGACTACTTCCTGCTGCAGTCCAACTCAAAGTACATCACCTGGTGGTCGATGGCCCTCAGCCTCCTCATCGTCACCTCTGGGTACCTGCAGCTACTCTTCCTCAAAAGCCTCTTTGTCAACAATACCGGCACAGAGGGCGAGAAGCCTCGATGCTGATAGACTAAAAATAAAAATGTCTGGATGTTTTGTGGAGGAAAGGCAGACACGAACAAATGGAAAAGCAGTGATGGTTCTTTCTCTTTGAATGAATAAATATTAGAAATAATCATGTTGAGACTTTGTGATGCTTTTCCAAACAGACTCGATCAGTTATCTTAACACGTTTTTTTTCACAACATACTGCATTGATACAGTTTGATAACAAATAAAAACAATAACATATATGTGATGGTGGTTTTAAAAATATGTAAACATATTATACTGATAGCTACCAGTACTCTCCAGAAATCATTCATCAGCTGTTTGCAGAATCTACACGTTGGCATAGCAATGGGCGGTTGGCGAGGGGTTAAGGACCGGTCTCTAGGCCAGCATGACGGGGCAATAGCAGCTAATCACCAAGCACTTACAACGGGTTGGGAATGATTGGTGGTTCAATGGTTTCCTACAGGTCTCTGGGCCTTT